ATCTCCTTCCACAATATCCTCATGCTCCAAGATATCAGCATCTTCGTCGGCTTCAATGTCTGCCTCGTCTCCAATGACCTCAACTTCCACTTCCACAATTTCCTCCCTGTTGGAGACCATTTCACCCCCATTCAATGACTCATCTTCTGTCCAATTATTCTCATCATCAAGTGGAATTCTTGCTACTACAGCAGCGATTTTTTCAAAATTCATCTTGATGTGCTTTCATAAACTGAATGACGTTTACGATCGCAACTCCTCTTTTATATAATTCGTGGTCATGACTCGATGGCGTTAAAAGTAGTAGGGGTCCTCCTCCACCAACTAGTCAGTGAATAGAATATATATGATGTCCTACTCAATTCCCCCAATTGAGTCATGTTATTTTCAGCATCAAGTAACAATATGCCTTTTCCAAAGGAGTGGGATACTAAGCCAAAAGTGTGTGTTTATCCAATACAAATTGCTGGAGCTACTCAGTGCTACAATTGTCAAATCACTCGACCTAAATCACACTTCAACCCATGTACCGGATTGTGTGCCGAGTGTGTATCACGGAATCCAGTGCCACAACCCAAGCGAACAATTAGCTCAACTCATGAACAGGGAAACTATCTCAAGTACTTCAAGTGTCCCGAGAGAATTGAGTGTACCATTGTGGGTATTTGCAGAAATATTTGTAGAACTGTTGCTATAGAAGTTGGTCAACTCTATCTCAATCGAAAAGTCAACTCCATTGCAGGTGTCTAACACATGAGGAACAAATCGAAAGGCGCCAAATCCTACGTCACCGTATTACAACGCTAAGAGAAGTTGGACTACAAAGGCTTTCTCGATAATGAATAGTCATTGTTGGAATTTATAATAAATGAATTGATTGAATATGATTACATTTGCATTATTTTCTTCAAATATAAAAGCTACCAATTGAAAGAATTTTGAATCTTATAATCGAATACAATCAAACACAGATTGATAGATATAACTTTTATTTTGGGAAACATACCAGCTCAATACTAGTGTACTCTTACTATACAGATAATTGAATTTATTTTCATACAAATATTAAACCATATCAGATTCATCAATCCATGAATTATGCTCACTTGGAAGACCAAACCACTTTATACATAGTTTTTTATTTTTTCTTCTCAACACCTTCTCCACTAGATATACGACAGTCAGGATTTGCTGTTTTCAATAATTCCTCCTCATAAAAACAGCATCTTATGGGTTGACCATCCATATCTTCAAGAATATATGTAGTGGGGACTGTTCTGTTTATTTTAAAAATTTCAAAGAGTTTTGTTGTATAGTTGGCTGTGAACCCTTTTTCAAATATATTTTTATACTTGTTTATACGTACAATATCGTTGAATTGGAATTTGAGTGAACTTTATTTGCTCTGGATTCCTTTCATGACTATGAATTTTAATTTTGTAGAACCCATTTATGGGTTCTATACCAGTTGTACTATGCACCTTGTTAAATTTTTTTCTTATGATACGAAGAATATCCAGCCACCTATGATTTCCCCTAATTGAAAATTCTTTGTAGAGCCATGTTTTGATTGTTCGAATTACTCTTTCTGCTATGGCTGCTGTTTTGTGCTAAATGTTGAATGATGATTGATTTTATATTGTCGCATGAGAGGAGAAAAATTTTTATTAAAAAATTCTTTCCCTTGATCGCTTTGTAGATGTTTCAGTTTTATTTTTAGTTGGCATTGTCCATAGATACTTCGAGTATCAATCAATTACCACAAGGATATATTGATGTCTTTTGTTACTTCTTGCAAATCGTTGCATTTCAGCTAAATCTATTTGACATAGAATAGCAAACCCCTTGATGATAGATATTTTTCTGTGGAAATTACGTCTTACAGGCCTATGTAACTCGTTGATGACTTGTCGTTTAACATCACTTATTTGAGACGAGAATGACAATATATTATCCCTTCTTCACGCAATTCTTCAATTATTCAAATCATTTCAATGTGTGTCTAGTATGACCAGCTGCCTTTGAAGATGCTAATTGTCGTACACGAGAAACCAACACTTTTGGTGAGTTCCAGTAGACATAATTCACTGGTTTGAAATTATATATTTTCTGCATTTCGTTTCGATTGACTGATCCACCAATTTTAGCTCTATCCCTAATTGGATAATGAGTTGAGTCTAGTATAGGTTTGATAACTTCACGAAATTTTTTGGAATTCGTTACTTTCAATATCTTTGAATATGTTTGTCGAATTTGTTCATCGTCAATATTTTGTGGATTCTTCAAAAATATTATATCATATAATTCTGGACTACCTAGAAACTCATATTTTTCCGCTTTATTGGTATTCCAAAATACTATGTTTTCATCATTGAAATGTGAAGTGATTCAAGATTTCGACGAACTTGGATAGTCGCGGAGTTGTTCAAGAATGCGGCGTCCTCCTGTTCTCCCATATTTATAGGATCAGTAACTGCTGATGTAGATGTACGTTTCTTCGAATGTTCTAGAAAAACCTTGGAAATGTGCTGAATTGTTGTCGGCCAACAGACAAGGAAGAACAATTCTGCCATCGGGAGTGTACAAAAAAAATTGAATAAAGAAAAACTATTGAAAATTTGGTTCACCTGCGTCAGGTGGATGTGACTTCAAATCCTTGCCGTGCCAAACGGAGGTTCGCCCGGCTGTATCGGCCAATTCATATGTCCATGGAGACACTATCTTAGAGACAGTGAAGGGTCCTACATATTTATCTGCAAATTTGGATGTGAAGTGTTTGTTGGCATCCGACAACGCATCGTTTCGTCTATAAACTACCTGACCTAATTTGAAGGTGTCAGGACGACGACGTAAATTGTAATGACCTTTACTCTTTTCGTAAGCTTTGATTAAACGAGACTGAATATCTCGATACATTCGGGAAAAGGCAAGAGATTTGTCAGAAAGAGTGTACTTAGGAAAGACCGACTCGGACGGAACATACGTTTCCGCTTTACCATCTAACGATACCTCACGACCAAAATTTATGAAGTTCGGAGTCAGTTGAGTTACTTCGTGCCTCGAAGACCGTATAGCATGAGCAATTTTTGGCACGTATTGGTTCCACAGTCGATGATTTTTTGACACATAATTCGTCAACATGGATTTGATGACGCGATTGACTCTTTCGGTTGGATTCGTTTGAGGATGATAATTAGCGGTATACGCGATGTCGAAGTTATATTCTATGGAAATATTCTGAAAAAGTTTGCTGCGAAACTGTACTCCGTTATCAACTATGATAGTTCTTGGTGAACCGAACAACAAAAGTACCTAATTTTCAAGGATCTTAACAACTTCACGGGCGGTAGCGGACCGCAAAGGAGCAAGAATAACAAACTTACTAAACGAATCACAAATGACAAGAATATAACAATGGCCTTTAGCAGTTCGTGGTAATGGACCCATTAGGTCTGCACTGATTAATTGCCATGGTCTTATGGCAGTGGGAGTCTTACTGAGCATCATACCTACCGGACGAGTTTGTTCGGGCTTGGTGACATTGCATGTGTGACATCGCTTTATATAGCGAGTTATGTCAGCTTTTAACTTAGGCCAATAATATTTTTGTGATATTCTTGAAACAGTTTTAAAAATACCTGCGTGTCCGGCTGACGGATCATCATGAGAAGCTTTAATAATATCATTACGATGTTCTTTGGGAACAACTAACCTCCATTGATCGAAAGGTTCGGATAACTCAGGATATTGGAGCCGAACATGCTTCAAGAGTTGGGAGTTTTCATTAATTCAATAGGAGGGATACCGAAAGGGACTTCTCTCGACATTGTTTCTTAATTTCAAGTACCAACGATCGACAGGTTCAAATCGAGTTCCAGTGTCTCTATTGCTCATGTCGATAACATCGGCGGAGAGCGGTACAGAATGAGATAGGAAATCGGGAACAGTATGTTCGGAACCTTTTCGATGAATTATCTCATAATCATATGGCAATAATCTCAATGCCCATCGACCCAAGCGACCTTGAGGGTCCTAAAGGTTGTGTAGCCACTTCAACGAATGGCAATCCGTAATGATTTTGAAGTGAAACCCTTCCAAATAATGCCGTAATTTTTCTACTCCCCAAATAACTGCAAGACACTCCCGTTCCGTAGCGCTATATTTGCGTTCTTGGTGAGTGAGTGACCGTGAGAGATAGGAAACGACCTTTTCTCCATCATCAAAGTGTTGACTCAGGACGACTCCAATGCCATATGCTGACGCATCGGTTTGCAAGTGGAATGTTCTTTGAAAATCAGGACAAGTGAGAACCAGGGCACTAACCAACCGCTCTTTGAGACACCTGAAGGACTTCTCACATTCTTCAGTCCAACAAAATGCTACATTTTTACGAGTCAAATTGGTTAGAGGTGCAACAATGCTAGAACACTGGGGAACAAACCTACGATACCACGAAGCAGTACCTACAAACTGTCGGATTTGCTTAGCATTAGTGGAAGCAAGTATATTCAGCATTGCTTCCACCTTCGAAGGGTCGGGCCTCAAACCAAAACTATCCACCACAAAGCCCAAATATTTCAGCTCAGAGCGACAAAACTGGCATTTCTCAAAGCTTACTATTAAATCCGCTGCATGCAAACCATCAAAAACCTTCCGGAGAGTATTTATATGTGATTCAAAACTTTGGGACACTATGACAATATCATCGAGGTAAACTAAAACGAATGGTTGTAGATCAGGACCCAATACTGACTCCACGTCGCCGGACTAATGCTCCGGCCACGTCGCCGGAGCATTAGTCAATCCAAAAGGCATAACCTTGAAGTGGTACAAACCCCCGGGTACCGTAAAAGCAGTAAGGTCCCTTGAGATGTCAGCTATAGGAACTTGCCAGTAGGCACTTTTCACATCTAGAGAGCTCAAATATTTGGCATCACGCAACTGATCTAGTATAGAAGATACATTCGGCAAAGGATAGGCATCCTTCACCGTGGCAGCATTCAACTGCCGATATAATCGACGCAAAACCGGTAGGACCCATCTCTTTTCCGTATCATACAAACTGGAGAAGACCAAGGACTTCGGCAAGGCTCAATAATGTCGTTCTGAAGCATTTTTTTCATTTCCTCATCAATGATCTTCTGCTTGGCCGGTGATACCTGGTAATATCGTTGCTTGATTGGTTTGGTTTCTGGAACCAACTCAATGGAATGTGACACCAGATGAGTCCTGCCCAAGGATGTTCCCATTAGGGCTTTCTTTTCCTCGACCAGAGCATTCAATTCCTGTCTCTGCCATGGACTCAAAGATGATTCACACAAAATGCTTTCGATTTGTACGGATTTCGGAATGTCCTTGCAGAAATGCCAGATATTTTGGCGGAGATCAGGAACAATGTTCATAGACTTCCAAAAGTCTATTCCCAATATAAGCTGTCGAGGAAGCTCGGGAACTACCCAGATGTCGAGAACGCAGGTTTCTTTCATTAGACACAGCGGCGTTGTCACATAACCGATGCTACGACAGATCGTCCCATTTGCTACTTCACATTAATTTGCAGCTGACTGTGATTTAAGACCTAATTTCATCAACAATTCATAACCCGAAGAACCTACCAAAGTACGCGAGGCGCCAGAATCTAAAAGACCAATAACCGGATAACCTAAGACAGAAACTTCTAAATAGGGGCGTTCATCTCCATTCACATGCGAAAGTAAGTAATCTAGTATGATCTGATTTCTATCGAAAGTGGTCGACAAATTCTTCGATGGAGAAACCTCACGACCATTCAATTTCTCCGTCGCCCGTTTCCCTGACTGTTACGATGAGAATTATTTCCTCTGTTACCTCCACTGGAATTTCTAACTCTACTGGAACGGGATAATGATAGACAATGAGAACATTCACGAAACGTCACACCTGGAGCGCCACAGCTATAACAAAATTTCCTACGAGGAGCTAAGCATCCTCGACAAGTGTGACCAGGTTGTTCACAATTAAAACAGCTGCTAGTAATGGAAATTTCAGCTACTTGTGGAGAACGACTAGTGCTAGGCATGCTGAAAGTATCTACATAGGCCAATTCTGGAATGAGAGATTTGGTTTTAGGAGGAGGTGGCACATACGACTTCGCAAGTTCCCTCTTCTCATCCAAAGTTCGGCAAGTTTGCAGAAGTTCGGTAATAGAAGTGGTGTTCTTGAATGCTAGAAACCGTTGATAATACGGATCGATGCGCTCCAAAATCATAGATAGCTGTAACTCCTCACTTACAGGATTCCTCAATTTATTGAAAGACCCTTCATACTAGCAATATAAAGACCAACACTTTCCCTGGGCCCTTGAGTCCTTCTCTTAATATCCTCAAATAAATCCCGGTCAAAATTAGCTGGTAAAAATTGTTGACGCATCAACTCGACCAAATCATTCCAGTCAGTAGCCCAATTTTTCACTAAATTGAACCACACATGAGCATCACCTTCAAAAAAATCTACAGCATCCCTAAATAAAGTCCTACGGGAAAGTCCTCGAGAACGCCGCTTTTCCTCCACCTGTTCTATAAAAGTGCATATCGACATGGTACCAGGTTTACCGGAAAATTTCAGACCCCAATCTCGAACTGGAACTGGTTTCACACCAACAGGTGACTCGTCTTCACTAGAAGAATCTTCATCTGGATTCAGGGCGGAACTATGAGCCTCGGGATTGATAGTTTGTCGTAAAACTGATAGGTCAAAAACAACAGAATCCCTAGTACTTCGTCCTTTCCTAGCCTTATCGTGCAACTGATCGAGTAGCAGCAGCAACTGAACACGGCTGTCAGCTTTCGCCCTCCTGTCTGCATCGGTTTGAGGAGAACTTCGATTCACCCTACCTAGATTGTGAACAATTTTTGTCACAATTGTTTTATATTTATTATCGCTTTCTGTTCCGCTGAAATCATCAAGTAGAGTTTTTATGGTATCAATACCTACTAAAACAGCGTCAGAATCGTCAGCGAATTTATAAGAATAAGAGGCACTTTTCATAGCCAAGGGGGTTTTTTCTAAAGATATTGCCTTACGAAGAGCTATCCGTAGCTCTGCAACGGTACGAGTGTCACTATCACCTAAACCACGAACATTCAACTCATAAATAAGTTCATCTTTTGTCAAGCGACATATATCCAACTTGATCTTGGAGATATTCATATTTACTAACTTCAACTCAACTCAGGTCAAAGTCAATTGAAAAAAATTGAAAACAGTTAACTTGAAGGAATGTGTCGAAATGAAAATCTCAACTTCGACGCTGGGCGTCGTGATGCAAAAACTCTTCAAATGTTCACAGCACCCTAATTGTCAATAAAAGTACCAAAACTGAACTTCGACGCTAGGCGCCGATAGGCGTTGCGATGCAAAAACTCTTCATAATGTTCACAGTACCCTAATTGTCAATAAAAGTACCAAAACTCAATTTCGACGCTAGGCGTCGATAGGCGTCGCGATGCAAAAACTCTTCAAAATGTATACGGCAAACTATACTATAAAAACACAGAAATAAATCAAAATCGAGCTGAGCGCAGCAATGCCAATGATATCTTATTGGGATATTACGATAACTTTAGCCCCTCCTGGTATATTTTTACCACGGAATATGACTTCACCAACTCTGAATATTTCCAACAAAGGAAAACTGAATCTGTTTTTCCAGGCCCTTAAAGTTGAGGCGCCAATTTGCTAGGGTGTATTTTACCGAATGATAATTTTAAAATACTAGCAGTAGAGGGATGCAATGAAACACCACTAACAAGTTACCCAGCTAGTGCAATATTTTGAACAACTATTTTCACATGTTTTTTTGCAATCTTAGAGTTTCACGGATTTGTAATTTTTTTGTTACTTAATATAACAAGGAATCTAACGTTATGCTAGTAATTGAAGTGTATTATCTCACCATTCCAGCTGATCTAGTAGGACCACCACCCTGTTCCAGATGCTGACAAGACAGTTCTCACAGGAGCGCACATCTTCGAAGCTTCGCATCCAGAATCAGTCAGATTTTATTCATCAAACCAACAACACGTATAATTTCATATATTTTGTATTTCTGTAATTTTTCATTTTCAAGTTTGTAACAATAAAAGTATTTTTTAAAAAGCAAGTTTAGTGCCGTCGATAGTTAATTGGCGCAGTCGACAGTAGGATTGTCAGAATTACGCGTATCGTACGAGTGATTTTCGTTTCAACGATTAATTGGCAATCGAACCTTTGTGAACAGAACAAGTTGGTGTTGAAAGCAGAGCGGCTCCTAGAACTTCAGGAAACCCAGTCAATCGAAGACCTGCAGAAAACTCCGTACCGAAGCTGTTTTCGAGAAGAGGAACTTCATCGTCCCCTTCTGCAAGGAAGAAACACTTGGTGAAGACAAAATCGCTGAACCAGGGCAGACTCCTTATAGTGGTTAAGAAAGCGATGGCCAAAATCTTGCTTTTATTGTGAGTACTCTGATTTTATGTCG